GGTGCTCACAGGAACCTCGGGAAGGAGGCAAAGATCCCCTCCAATGCCCACCTCTTGTTTCCCAGGCTCAGGTGCAGAGCTGGGATGCCTGAGTGGAGCCCCTGGAGGGGCCTGGCAGGCTCGGCAGCTCCCAGCAGCCCTTCCCAATGAGGATCACAGGGGTTCATATCAGCCGGGTGGGTCACTGTGTGTGTATTTGGCCAGTCCTGCCTGTTAAGGTCCCTTAACTTTGTGTGGCAGTCAGTGGCTTAGGAGTTACTTTTGCTGTCATTGTATTTCATTGACTTTTCATAACGACTCAGGAGGTGGAGTGTTGTTCTGATTCCATGTCAACTAGAGGGTCAAGAGGAGCCAGGGACCAAAGTGTCTTCATGGGAGAATTTTCCGGTGGCCCCTCTGCTCCTGTCCTGTGAACACCGGCTGTGACACAGCCACTGGCGTGGGCCCACTGTCCACCAACCCTGCACCCACAGTTCCCCTGCTCGGACTGGTCATGCAACTGATTTCCTCATCAGTGTGGGGGGTGGACTTGAGAGAAAATGCCTGCGAACAAACGGCAGGTGGGCTAGGAGCCGTGCAGCACTCCCAGGAGCATCTCCTAGATGGGGTGTCACAGCAGTGACGCCGTCTTTACCAGCCGGGACGAGGCCGTTCTCAGAGCAGTGCACAGGATTTGGGCTGCGTTTTTACATCTGCCTCAGGCACCTTAGACCACGCTCAAACCCACTGATGGTTGGTGGGTCAACAGATGTCTGTGTGCAGTGCACATAGGCTGCTGGGGTCCTGTGGGCGGGACTAGAAGCAAGGCGGGGTTTGCTCTGTGCATAGGTGTGCTGGAGTAACATTCGAAATGGTGGTGAGGATGAACATGACCTTGAAGGGCGGGGGAGACAGGAGCTGGCTGCATGTGTTCACAGAAGGGACAGGGAACCTTGGGAGGGCTTGGCTGGCTTGGAGCGGGGTCCTCATTCCAGCCCCAGCAGGTCGGAGTGAGGTTGCAGGCAGGTGGCTTGTCCTGCCTGCACAGCAAGCATCAGTAAGAGCCTCATTTTTACAGAATCAGTTTCAGCACTCACAAGGTCACACAATTCCTCCGAGAGAAGTCTATCTTGTGGAAATAAATTTCCTCGTAAGTATTTTCATAGCCTCGTTTAGAAAGTGAGCTGTTTTCTCAGCCCCTCTTAGGTTGATGTTTGCTTTCTCCTCTCGAGTTATTTAAATGCTCGTTCTGTTCTCCTGTTGTCCTTGGTGATGAAGCTTGCTTCTGCCTTCTTGTGTAAAGTCTTCTGTCTCTGCGTGTTTTCCATCCACTGCTTCTGCTTAGCCATGTCCATTTTCACGTTCTTTCCCCCCTAGTGCTCCCTTAAAGTGATAGTACAAGATGGTTTACGAGTGTCATCTGTTTAAAAGTCAGAATGCTCAGACATTGTATCTAATGTCTTTGACTGCCTCTCTCCAGCAGCTCACTTACGCCCATGCCTCCCGTTCTGTCTGGGGTCCCACTAAGCCCTGCGTTCCCTGCCTCTGCCTCTTGGGGTCTCCAGCCCCAGCAAATCTAATACAGACATAGCCGATTTCAATAATGGCTCTTTTAGCCCAGTGTTGTTCAAATTCTGACTTGTGACCCATTATTAGAGTGTGAAGCCTATTTCCTGGGTCACATCATATAAAAAAATAGAATATATCTGTTCACACGTAGTAAGGGTGAAACCTTCATTTCAGTTGTGTGCGTATGTTCGCATCATGATGGTTGGGATGTGATCTGAAATGTATGCCATAGTCAAATGTGTATGATGGTCCCTGCTGTATTCAAACATATTGCTAAGCTTTATGAAGAAAAGCCATTTCCAGGAAATGGTTTTACGCCTTGGGAAGAGCAATTGTCACAAGGCAAAGCAGGGCCCACAGAGTCCTGTGAAGATGTCTCTGTGTCAGAGGGAAGGTCACTGGGGTGCCTCTGAGTGGGTTCACACAGTCTTTGGAGGTTGAAGAAAGGCATATTTCTGTGAAGTCGCAAAGGGCTTCTCCTGCGTCACTCGACTAATTGTTCGGATTTCAGGGCAAATATTCCTTCCCCCAGGAAGCCGTCCCTGATCTCACCCCCTCGGTCTGGATCAGGCTGTTTGGCCAGATGGTTCCACAGCACCACGTTTCTCACCATCGGAGCGCTCAGCTCAGTTTCTAATGATACTTTTCTTACTGTGGTCGTTATATTATTGTCTGTCTCCCCGTTGCCCCCCACTACCCTAGCCCATGGCCCCACGGGGCGGGCATCAGGTCTGGTTTGCTTGTTGTACCTGCAGGAGCCAATGTGGTGCCTAGCACGTCGGCAGGACCTGGTCTACACCAGGTCAGGGACACTCCCAGCCCCACAGCTGATGGACGTGAGGCACCCTACAAAACCCTCTAATCTGCTCTGATTCCAGAAAGGGCCGGGGGTGTGAGAGCACAAGGGGACGTGCAGCAGGAAAGAGGTTAAGGCTCCAGGAGGTCAGCAGAGGCCCCTGAGCTCCTGCTGACCGCACACAGAGCCCACGGACCCTGTGACCTGACCCGTCTTCCTGCCCAGGTACTTCAGGGCAGAAGCAAGTCAGGCATAAGCAGAGTTACCGGTGAACACGTCTTGGAGGATGGTCTGTTCTCTGGCTGTGGATGGGGCTCCATAGTGCCAAGTTCATGGTCGTCACGAAGAGTGTTCAGGCCATTAGTCATGGGAGTTGGAAGCAGCTCGTTTATTCTCATACAGGTGTCAGCTGAGACCCTGAGCCGAGCTGTCTGTGAGGGGCAGGGGCCGTGTGCTCTTGAGTACAGGTTGGGGGGGGGTGCCTTTTCTACCCTGAGAGTGAGGGTAAAGGCAGAACAGTGGGGAGAGGGAGGGTAAAGAAGTGTTTCTAGGGTTTCCTTAGCAGGAAAAACATGTCTCCAAAAGAATGTTTTGGAAGCATTTTATTTTAGGTGGAGAGATGTTGACACTCAGCTGGCCCCACAGCCGGACCTTCACTGGGGGCTCAGGCTCTTCTATAGCCAGTGGGGTCTTAGAACTGCTTTCCCGTTGGAAAGGCTGGACCTCTGTGACCCCAAGCATCATTTCCACGGTGATGAGATGGGGGTTTTGACCTGGCAGGACGTTTGCAACCAGAAGCAGGTGAGCTTGTAGGCAGGTTTCCTCTGCAACCTCAAACCAAGCATGTGTAACTGAATCACAGTTTCTCCACCTCTGAACCAGAGACAGGAACATGACATTCTTTTGCTTGTGATCAGAGGGACCGTGTAGGGAAAACATCTATGTAGGTACACGCGCTTGTGTCATGGGCCTGACATTTGATGTGCCGCACAGGAGCTGTTGCCTCCACACGTCTGCTGCCCCGGTCGCCGTGTGCAGCTCTGCCTTCAGCTCTGGTCAGCGCCTCCCACACCCTTCTGTCACACTGGGTTCTGGTCGGGTCCTGAACCGCGAGCCCGCTGCCACCCCAGGCCTGGGCACTGCAGTCCCCGGGGGCCCACTCCGCCCCTTTGTTCAGGTGTCTGCTGTCACCCTACTAGACGGGCCCTACCAGACCATGCCGTATAAAACAGCAAGCCCAGAACACCTGCCCCCGGTGCCTTCTGTCCCTCACAGCACTTGCACCCACCTGCAAATTGAGGAGCTTCGTAGGGACAGGGATGTTGTTACTGCTTTCCTTTCCCTTTTTTTTTTTTCTGAGTTTGGTTTGAGTTTGCTGTATCTACGGAACGGTGCACCACAGGCCTTTAAATCTTCATGGAAAACCTTTTTTCTGCTTTATTTATTTACTTTTAGGAAGTGTTGTTTCAAATAATAAGTAACTTACCCAAGGTCACATACATAGCAAGTGGTCAAGAGCCTTAAACCCAGAGGACACCAAGTCGCAACTTTCCTCTTGGCCTCGAGTCCACCTTTCCTTCCGCTTTTCCCCTATGTCTGGGCATTGACGCCTCTGCTCATTTCTCTGGTGCTGCCTGTACAACGCCAGGCTTGTCCGGGCTCAGCCCCCCTCAACGCTCTCCTCCAGACGCCAGTCGGCCTCAGTGCCGCTGCTACCCCAGATCCTGGTGAAACGTCCTGGTCCAGTGCCGTGTTCCTGGAGGACCTTGTGCTCGGCACTCTAGAGCGGCGATAGCTAATTTGATCAGCTGGGTCAAGGCTAATGTGTGCATGGATGAGCCAGGCCCCCTTGGCTCCATTCCCTCTCAAAGAGAACGTGAGTGTGCTTGGGTGCATGTGTGTGCTCAGGTGCGTGTGGTTGTGTGCGCTTGGATGTGTGTGCACTCAGATGCATGTGCTCGGGTCCATGTGCACTCACGTGTGTGCACACTTGGATGCGTGTATGCGCTCAGATGCTTGTGCTTGGATGCTTGTGCACTCAGATGTGTGCGCGCTCGGATGCTTGTGTTTGGATGCTTGTGCTCGGATGTGTGTGTGCATTTGGATGCTTGTGCTCGGATGCGTGTGTGCTCAGATGCATGTGCGCTCGGATGTGTGTGTGTGCTCGGATGTGTGTGCACTCAGTGAGGGGTGTTTTGATGGCCTATTTTTTGGGGTGTGGTTTTTTGTTTAAACATTTATTTTTGTGTTACCTGGTGTCACATGATGGGATGCCTGTGTTTAATTTGTACATTACCTGTTTCACTGTATCTGAGATACTTTTGGTATGGCCATGACCCTGGAGAAGGTGATAATCTCCTTTTACACGACTATAAGTGGCACCTGACTCGCGGATACTTAGGTCGTCAGAGAATCTCGTTCACTGGACAGACACTTGCCTATCCACATCTTGAACTTCTGCCCTACAAACAGTAAGCGTTCAGCTGTCCAGTTTATGGACATGACGATGCTCTGAGGCCGTTTTCAGCTAGCGTGCTGTGTAAATTGCCAGGAGCAGCTCCCTGGCACTGATTGTTGGCCTAACACTGTCACTGCTGTGTGAGTGCCGCACTCTGGTCTCGTCCCCTTGTCACACCCTCTGCTCTGCTCCTTTCAGGGAAAGTGCGATGGCGGGACTTCAACCAGGAGGCTTACATTGGAGGGACAATGGTTCGCTCTGGGCAGGACCCCTACGCCCGCAACAAGTTCAACCAAGTGGAGAGTGATAAGCTGCGGATGGACAGAGCCATACCTGACACGAGACATGAGCAGTGAGTACTGAGCTGGCGTTGGCTGGGGCTCACCTGCCTGCCCACACCCAGGAAGTGGCGCTCACTGGGACAGTGACCTGTCTCTTACTCTGGAAGCTGGACATGTGCTGTATGTCTGTGGGTCGTAAAACTAGGAAAAACTCTGAGGCGCATAGCAATGGGCCCTCACTCACAGGAAGTCAAGGACTATTGGGGACTGGGTTCCGGTCCTTCACATGCCCCAGGGCTGTGCCTGGAGTAGGGGACAGCTGGCCAGAGAATGGGAACCAGCAAGAGAAAGCTGTGTGACGGGCTTCACGTTCACTGATCGCTTGTTGTTTTCAAAGTCCTCTCACAAATAAAGCATAATTTCCATTGTTCACAGCATCACTGGAAGGAAGAAAACCTGATTTTTGCTTCTCAGGACAGTTTAAGTTAGATGTTCTAGGGACTAGAAGGGGAAGGGCAGAACCGAGAGGACAGGGGCCACTGAGTGGGCACACAGGCAGGAGAAGGCAACACCTCGTCGGCCTTGTGCTGAGGGGAAGGGCTTTGGTCCAACTCCTGACTCTTCAGGGACCTGGGACCTGCGGGTCAGCCACCCAGGGTTATCAGGCTCAGCTCAGGGGGTCTCCAGACGTTCTGTGGTGTGCTGCGTCACAATTTGTCAGGACAGTGACACCCACTCTTCACCTTTCAGCTGGTAGGGATCTTTGATTGGGAGGCAGTTCTCACAGGCTCCTTAGAGGTTGGTCTTGTTTCAGGGGGTTAAAAATAGCCACATTTGGAGAGCAGCTGTGCTCCTGAGTGCCAGATAGAACGTCCTGCTCACCGAGTTACTTTTAGAGTCACTCATCCATCATGTAACAGAGCATGAATTACACATGTTTTGTGACTCAGACACTGTGCTTGGGTCCTGGGATTCCAGTCAAGAAGTCCCGTTCTGCTCTGGGTTGGGGGATGACAGGAAGCAAGGGGGTTACAGCACCCTGGGCCTTGGGCAGTCTGCTCCAAATCAGGAACATGGGAGGCTCAGGAAAAGCCCCCTGGAGGGCAGAGTCCTGAGCTGGAGACATCCAGCGAGAATAGCCGTGACAAGGCCATGACAGGCAGTCCTAGACTCCCAGAGCGCCAGCCGGGGGTCCGTTTTCTCGGGGTGGGGGGTGGGGTGGGTTCCAGGCATTAGGGGGTTGAGCTGAAGAGACACAGAAGGCCAACTAAATTACAGCTGACCCTTAAACAACACGAGGTCGGGGGCCCTGACCCCCCCACACACAGTCTAAAATCCGCATATAACTTTTTAAGTTCTCAGAAACTTCAATTGTCCCCTGGTATCCGTGGGGATTGGTTCCAGGGCCCACCACGGACCCCAAAATGCACGGATGCTTCAGTCTCTTATATAAAACGGCGTGGATCAGTGCTGCAGTCAGTCCCCCACGCCCGTGGGCTCCCAGCCACAGACAGAACACAGGGCAGGTTTCTACTGCGAACAGCCTGCTCATCAATGGACCCGTACACGTCAAACTGCGGCACTGTAGGCTGAGTCCATATGAACACATGTTGCAGTTTGGCTTTGTTTCCTAAGCTAACAGCGTGCACGGACAGTATTTTCCCTTCTCGCCTCTGTTCAGGGCACTCTCCTAACAGTGTTGGGTACCAGTTAACTGCCAGCTGCTCACTCCCTTTTCTTGACAGCTTTTTTGGGGTCTGGCCAGGTCTGTTTACCCAGAGCAGCTTGCAGGTATGTAGGTTTGCAGTTCTTTGTGAAGAGAGAGCGTATGTGTGTGTCATTGTTAATACGTGAAACATGATAGATATGTCATACATGATATTAAGAGCCTCATGTTTTTCTAAATGCAGACCAGAAAGTGCCTTTGCTTCTGGTTTTCTATAGCGCATGCAGTCCTTACACTTCGCTTCTGGTTAAAGTCAGCACAGCTCACTGTTAACGTAAAACGGGGTAGCTGACCTGGGATCCATGGACCCACAGCGAGCCCGTGTGGGGCCGTGGACTCTGAGAGTCCTCTAGCTTTGTGACCAATTGCGGGATTGTACATGCGTGCATACCTGGGGAGAGGGTCCCAGGTGCGTGCATCTCCACCACCGTCCCTCCCTCCTCCTCCTAATGGGCCATTTGCACCCAGGCTGTGCCAGGCGCTCCTGGGGGGCCCACCCACACCGTCCTCTGGTGGTGCTGGGCACAAAGCTTGACCTCAGTGCACACAGAGGGGCAGAGGCTGCTCAGAGCAGCTGACTTAAGGCCACAAAGGGTCATGTGGCTTTTAATGACCAGACTCAACTGCTTGGAGTTACATGTCTATGACATGGTTTAAGTTTCATTTCACTGTTTGGTTTAAGAGCTGGTTTACCTGCTGTGACTTTTGTTCTACAGGCTTTTCCTTAAAGATGAGAGAAAGTGGTGTCCTTTCTGATGGCTCATCAGTGTGTAGGCCAGGAATATGCCTCCATTGCAAGTCCCTTAGAAGTCCCGAAAACTATATATAGAAAGATTTTTTCAGTTTTTGAAAGATGAGTTTGTCCAAACAGATGTTTAAATATTCATGCTATGGTGGGATGCGTTTTAGGTGGGTTTAATTTTAGTTCCAGCTATTGTGTCATGTTCATTTGCATGTGTAAAAGAAGCCAGCAGCTGGGATCCCTTCCGTGGTGTTTGGATTTTGGCCCAAGTCTGCCCTCAGTCAGAGGGATGCCTGGAACTGAACCAGTGTGCTGTCCTCAGAGTGGATGGTTTGGAGTAACCATTCTTACTGAGCATCAGTGAAGAAGATCAGGGCACCTTTTTGCCCCCTGTAGCCAACAGGGAGCTGCGAAACCCCCTGGGCTTCCGGTGGTTCTGCCTCTGCAGCTCCTCCCTGGTGCAGCCTGTGGGATGCCACCCGCCCGCTGGAACCCAGTCCTCTAGCTCTGAATCGGAAAGCACACAGGTGGAGGGGACCTGAGAACAAAGTTCGGGAGTCGCATAGATCTTGGTTGAAATCCCGTACTCTCCAGGTCCTCATTCTGAGTCTTGGTCATTTGTGAGATAATGTAACATGGTCGCTGTGAGGCTTAAACCGTGTTCACAGCAGCTGGGTCTCCCTCCCCCAGACCGTGTTCAGCAGCCAGCGCAGGAAGGCCCCCCTGGCTGCCACCCCAGCGTTCCCCACCCCTCTTCCCTGCTCGCGTTTTCTTCACAACTCTTCTCTCCACCCGCACTCCCTGTGCTTCCCTTATTTATGTGCTCCTCCTTCTTTACTCATTAGAATCGTGAGTGAGTACATCCAGGGCTGTCGTTGGGCACCTCATGCCACTCAGTCCAGTCAGTAAGTATTCGCTGAGAGAGTAAATTGCATAGCATGGTGCCCGGTATAGAGTGGGTGCCCCGTAAATCAGTAATATTAAGATGGATAAAAGAATCAAGGAGAAGGAAAGGGTGATTTTAAGCAGGAGAGACCGTACGAACTCCAGGACGAACCACAAATTACTACACGGTGTTTGTGTTATAATCTAACCCTGAGTTTCTATCCTTGGGGTTCAGAGCCTTGCAAAAAAACCAAAAAACACTTTTGCCCTTTGTTTTATTTACCTTTTTAAGTGTACAAAAAGGTGCCAGGAAAAAATATGTCCATTAAGCAGGAAGCCTATAAAAGCCTGCTACGAGGGAACTAGTAGAGACGACATACAGGAAATACTGGACGCTCTTAGAAATTATTAGAAGGATGGTAGCCCATCTGAGTTTGAAAGTATATGTAGTTTCTCAACTAAAAACAAAAAAACTTGTCTATTAATGTTACTTGACGGTTTAAATAAGGATTTATCCAGACTAAAAGCTGATTAAACCAACGGGAATTTCAAAGGTGCTTTGCAGACACTCCCCCCCCCCGCCCCCCCCTTTAGGATGGTGTTGTCATTGTGCTGAAGAAAGTAATGGAAAGTTGCCCTGGGCAGGTCTGAATCTGTTCTGAAGGTGGAGCCAACAGGCCTGCTAACAGATGAGACAAGGACAAAGAAGGTGGCTTGGAGCATGGCTCCAAGGTTTGTGGCTGGAGCACGGAAGAGCTGGAGTTACTGTAAGTGAGATGGGGGTGCTGTGAGTGGAGCAGGTGCAGCGGACACATCAGGGATTAAAATCTGGGCATGTTAAGTTCAGGATGCATCAAGTGTCTTGTGTGTGCAGACCTGTGTTCCAGGTATTGGGTACATGTCCGGCATTTAGGAGAAAGGCCTTGGTCTTGGTGGGGGTGTAAATTGGGAGTGTTCAGTATGCAGATGGTACTTCACACCATGAGGCTGGACGTCACCCCAAGGCAGGGAACAGACAGAAACGAGAAGAGGCCCAGACCAAGCACTGAGGTCCTGTGCAATGAATTTCAAGTCCAGGCCAACACCTGGGGCCCAGCCTAATCGCACATCACTCACCATTTCATGTGGTCCCAGCCCCAGGAGAAACACACTCTTGCTGTGATCTTCCTGCCAAAGCCTTTCCAGAATCCAGCTCAGAAGGGCTTTGTGTTGTTTTTTGTTTGTTTGTTTGGAGGTTTGGAGGTTTTGTTTTGTTTTTTTGCCTGAGAATGTATCTGACAGGAAAGTGAAGTAAAAAAAATCGAGTGAAGCCTAGGAAGTTTATGAAATATTATTATTCTGTCTGCTGGGGAAAACTTGAGATGGTTTACTAGCAAATTGTTTCTGTAAGTAAAAGCAAATAAACCTTTGGGGGAAAACCTTACCTTGTTTTCTTTTTTCCCCATCAGCCAAACACCATCCCTTTTCATTTATTTATTTAGTCCCTTGAAAATGAGAACCGCTTGGTAAAGGAACAGATTTTATTCAGTTTTCAAAAGTTAGATTTTATTAGAAAGTTTCTCCCTGTGTTGCCACCCTTTCCTTTTATTACTAAATTAAAAATGAAGGGTTTTGGGAAATTTTTGTGTCTAAAACTGAAACATTGCTCCTGAGAACAGGGCTGCAATCGACCATGTCCCCACAAGGGGTCCTTCTCTCAGAGAAATTTATTCAAATTC